AAATTTGTTTTATTTTTTTTTAAACCTCTAAAATTTTTTTTTTTTTTCTTTTATTTTTTTTTTTTTTTTTTTTTTTTTTTTTTTTTTTTTTTTTTTCCGGCTGCCAGGTTGTGACGCCGACTCGGAGTTACTCCGACTAGCCTCGCCCGTTGACCTGTTGTGCGGTCCCGTGCCATCCTGCCTGCCGTCACCTCAGCTCCATCCTGACCCTGTTCTCCTGCAGCAAATGGACCTGATTGATTTTGAGAGAACTCCACCTCCGCAGCCACCAACAGGTCGGACCTTGCTCAGTAATTTAAACCTGCTTGGTGCCCTTCAAGATATAAACGCTGCACACTTTCCATTTGTTTTTTGTTTTTCTGAATCTCAGAGCTGGAATCCGTAGAGGAGGCAGCAGCAGATGGGCCGTCTGATCCGGCAGAGCGGCGCGGCGGTTCAGACGCTTCACCGTCGCTCCCTGAAGGGAAGAACATTTTGTCCATGGACAGTCCTGGCAGGAGAGCTTCCCGCAGCAGATTTAAACTAGCTGCCAACTTCTCCTTCACAGAAGGCCTCTGATCCACTCATTTGCTTCCACTTCAACACACACACACACACTCGTCAGTGTAACTCTAAATGGAAGAGTTGACCAGCTCCAAACAGATGCCTACCTTCGACACGGCGACAGGCTGTTGCGTTTCCGTTTCCTCCTCCTCGGCAAGCTTTTCGTCACAACGTTTCATTAAAGTTCACCTAGCTGATCTGGTTTTTGCAGACTTTCTGCAATTCTTTGATTTACAAGCTGATCTGCTGTGTCCTCGTTTTCATCCCAGGAGCGGCCGTTTCTCAGAGGGCGCCTGCAGTTCTGAGCCATGGTCGACGTGTTGAGGAACTCGGAGTTGTAAAAACTGAGTTAGTTTTCACTGTACGGTTTTCAGTTTATAAAAACTGCATTGGGATTCATCAGTGAAACATTCACGGTTCCTTCTTTGCTCCCTGCCAAAAACAGAAACTTTCTTTTTGAAACCCTAGTTTCGACCTTTTGGAGCTTAGTCTTTGGTTGGTTATAATGAGCAATCCAGCTGAAGAGTCGCTGGCCGATGAATTATTTCTGATTTTTAAAGTAGTTGGCCTCTGTACACTCCCCTGCAATGTCTCTGCAGTGTTTTTTTTTGTTTTGTTTAGTTCCTTCCAAAGTTTTTGCGGAGTCTGTGTTCATCTGTGAAGGAGCTTGGGCCTAAACGTGATGGTAGATCCTAAACGACACAAAGCCGGTAATCTGCAGCCAGCTGCTCTGAATGTTTGTCTTTAATCTGTTTCTCTCTGTGTGTGTGTGTGTTTGTGTGTGGTGTACACTGAAGAGGATGGAGTGAAATGTGCGACATGTTGCATAATTGAGTTTATGCAAGGGGCAGATGAGGAGAAGACATGTAGTTTCAGGTCGGTCATTGATTTTTCTACCGCGGTCTCGCCCAGCAGCTGCCCCCGTGAAGGTTTCATGAGTTAACCTTTGCCACTAGTGGGCGCTGAATCAGAGGCGGAGTGTTTAGAGGACAGCACACCGTCCTGAGTTTTTGATTTTTAACGGCACGGTGACTATGTTTTAGAGGAAGCGTGGTGGGGGCGGGAGTGGATGGATTTCGGAGTGTGGGGGGGCCCTGAGAAGCCTCCTGCACTCACAGAGGGGGGCCCCTCCGCCGCTCTCTGGGGTCTGCCGGGCTTTTACAATGGCTTGTATTTGCCACGGCGCTGAAACGCGGTGCCATCGTTCCTCCCTCTCAGGCGGAGTAGTTTTTAACCTGCAGGTGCGTGGTGGTCTCTGATTTCTCTTTCTTTCTTCGTTTTGCCCATCGGCTGCTGGCTGCCGAAACATCTCCAGACGTCGGCTACGTGTGTGTGTGTGTGTGTGTGTGTGTGTGTGTGTGTGTGTGTGAGAAGTTTGGCACAAACCTGTAACTGAAGTCGAAGCTGCTGCTTGCTGTAAACCTTTAGGGATTGGGTCAAAGCCCATGTAGGAAGCTTGTTCGCCTTGATACTGGGTTTAGTCTGTTTAAGGTTTCTTTTTACTCGGTGTTGATGAGCTCCATCTTGCACAAATCAGTTTTTTAAAAAGTGGCTCTTGTTGCTCCTTTCTTTTTGCACTGTTTTAGTGACCAGCTGAAGGAATCATCAGTTCAAAGTAATCATTTGAAATTAATGACACAAAAGCAGATTAAACAGATCAGCGAATATCTACAAATATATATATATTTTTTTTCCTCTTTTGTTTGAACTACAGTGACAACTAACTCCATTTTAATGAGTCCTCGATTCAGTTGGATCACCGAGAACCTGCTGTACCTGTTGGAATATGCACTTCTGCATAGTTTTAGTTGCTGAAATACCTGTTTGAGAAGGGATTTAAAATGAGTTCATGTGTTGAATTTCCTCATAGTTATTCTCCAAAAGATTTTAAGGAACTTTATTTATTCGACCGTTTCCTTAAAGCTTTATGTTGCCACGAGTGTTTTGTTTACCTCAGTGATTCATTGTGTCTGCAGTCGTCTGTCCCTTCAGTCACAGTTTTTACTGCCTTGCTGCACCAACACTGTTGCAACAGTCAAATGATGTTGAAGTGACCAAAAAGAATCGATTAATAAAATTCACAAGCATCTGTTGTTTGTGTGTGTGTGACTTGTGTTGCAGGTGCATCTTAATAAATGAGAATATTAAGTTTATTCAAGCAGTTTAGTTACTGGGGCTTGTGAAGTCATGCAGATGGATGTATTGTAAATGTTTGAGTTCATTTTGATGATTTATGGCTGAAAAGAAAATGAAAACCCAATGTTCACTTTATTAATACAATATCTGATAAAGTTCAATTGTGAGGTAATTAAACCTTGGTGATGTCAATTATTGCTGGCAATTGGTATCACCAATTTTTATTGCCGATACTAATAAAAATTAGGCCATAACATTTCGGTATTGAGCCTTTTAGAAGTTAATTTTTATGCATTCCACTTCTAAGAACCTGAATGTTTTGTGTTTTATTGGGTGGAATCATCCAGGTTAACCACAGAATAAGCTCGACACCCAAAAAAACAATTTGAACTGAGCAAAATAAGTTGACATTTTAATAGCATTCTCATTGCAAAGGTAGCTGTACTTGCAGAGGGCAAACATGACGCGGTTCGTTCTTGAAAGATGCTCTTTATTGAAACATATTTACACGTGTTTTCAGCTTATTTTCTGCATATTTGGGTTTTTTTTTAAACAGCAGAACTTTTATAAAGTCACTACACTTACAGGACGCCAAGTTATCAGAAGAAAGAAGTGATAAGAGATCAACAGTTTTCTTGACGCGAGTCACTAAAGTCCTAAATACACTCAAGCACACACGGTTTATTGGAGGCATTAAAAAGGGGCTTCATTCCTTTCCTGGTGTTTATCACAGAAATGCAAGGTTAAATTTAAAGGATGCAATTTGTTTTCGAGGGTTTATGATCACCACAAGTGAGGTCGTACTGTCCGTTATGTCCAGGTTGTTGATGGCGTCTGTAGGTGACCCTGCAGAATGAGGAAGCATGACCAATGATTACAGTGGATGCATTTTACAAGCGTCGAACTGTGATTCGGAGTAACGTTAAAGAATAAAAGTGACATCAGACTTCATGCCAGTCAGCGTTCTCCACCTGATTTTTTATTTTTTTTTCTCTCCCCTCTGTGGAAACGTAAAATAAAATCCCAGAGAGCAGGAGGGCCCCTGCCTCACTTCAGTGGATTCTCATCTTTGATCAGAAACCAAACTGAGAGGTTCATCAGAAAACGGAGGTGTCCGTTATCTGATCTATGCCAGATTGTTGGGAATTTTTTTTTTATCCTAACAGTCAAGCAGACATCTGTCTGGTAAGGGCCATGGAGACTTTTCTAAAACTTTGGGACCCCATTGAGAGCCGGAATCCACAAAAGGAGAAAACGTGACAAGAAAACCTGCACAACCAAAAAATCTCCAACTGCGCCCATGATGGCCAAGACTATCGAGAAAAGATACAAACGTTTTAAAGGTGTGTGCTGCTATATCTGACCTGATTCAGGTGTGATAAACCAGGGAAAGAACTAAAGCGCGCATGATGAACGCAACCCTACCACAAGGAGGTAAAACATTTGTTGTTAGAAAATGAGATTTTCAACATCAAGATGAGAGAAACGACTAATAATCTCCAGGTAAAGATATCTGAACGAATGTTTACGACTGTCTGACCTCGGCGTTCGTAGAGGAAGTCTTTGGAAGCTCATCAAAATGACTGAAATCAAGTCTGACTTGGATCAGCGGTTTGCAGCAGCATTTGAAGTGGTGAAAGTGTTTTAAATCGGCATGAGATTAGTTATTTCTAAACATTTTTATCCACAAAAGCATCCACTGCAACCCGACCTTTGAACATGAACCCAATTAATGGACCAAATTTGCTCATCAGAACAACAACAGAATAGTAATAGCTTATGAATGAGAACTGTTGTCCTAAATGACACAATGAGAGGCTTCGTGTTCATGTCAGAGAACCCCGCTAATTACTGACGCGGTGGGTTTTGTGCTTTTGAGGCCTTATTCGTCCAGTCGGACGCATCCTCGCCTTAAAAGGAATGCGACGTACAGGAAGGACCTGACCTGCTTCTGCATGAATACATCAACCACACGGCTATCGGATTCTATTTACAGCTCTGCTTAGTTCATGTACAGCCCCGGTAGAGATGCGCTCCCGCTGTAAAACACCTCACACCTTGAGCGCTGATCAGGGATCAGTTCCCACGCGGCCGCAGCTGGGGAATGGGTCTGATTCCTGAACGGGCTCAAGGGCGAGTGCTGCTGTCTGTGGTTCTCTGAGAAACAGGAAGTGACTGGGTCATGTGACATGAGAGTAGCGACCGTCAATAAGGAGGTCGGTTACATTACAGCACACTGGGCGACTCCGCAGCAGTCCTTGATGATGGCCGCCCCCGACTTGGTGATGAAGGGTTTGTTGGGAGGCGGTTCTGGGATCTGTCGCTTGGGCTTTTGGGAATCTGGAATGAAATTAAAGGACAGAGATTTATTTTTTGTGTGTGTGTGTGCGGCTAGTTTCCGTCTCTGAGGGTGAGTTTTGAAGCTCTGACTCACTCGGCGTGGCTTTGAGTTTCTGCTCCAGAGGCCGCAGCTTCAGCCGGAGGAACTCGGCCATCTCCTTGTCCTCCTCCTTCTCCCTGATGAACGATCACATCTCTAATGCAGCTCAATAAACATCAGCAGTTATCCGACCAGACCAAACAGAACCCGTATTAAAGCTTTGGCCTTGTCGACTAAATCAATTACTCTGAAAGACAAAATCCAAACTCACTCAGTTTCTGACAGTTTTTCTTTTCTTTTTTTTTTTTCTTTTTTTCCAGAGGTGGGTTGAGAGAGAGCAGCATCACTTCAAAACAACATTTTTCTGAATGAAGTCACTCAAGCGAATAGTAGACAGCAAAAAAACATAAAATCTTACCAAGTCTTTTTGGTCTAGTTTCTAGTGCAAATGAGACGAAACTAACATTTGAGTAAGACAAGCGCTTCTTTTAAGTCAATAGTTCCTTAATATTGATGGAAAACTAGTTATTTCACTTCTGAAAAGGCGAATAATATTCAGACTCGTCCATCTCATTTGCTTTGTTTCTCTGGCACCGTGTGTGTGTGTGTGTGTGTGTGTATCGCATGTCTGTATGAAACGCTCGGGCACAGCTGCACTAAGAAACAAAATCCCGGATATTAACTCTGCCCGTCATGCAGGTGGTACCTTAATCTCTCCACCTCGGCGTCGTCCACCAGGAAATCCCTTTTCTGCACCAGTTTATGGATCTTTAGGATCAGCTCCTCCTCCCGCTGCTTGTGTTTCTTGTTCTTTTCTTTCTCTTTTGGCAAATGACAAAAAAAAAGTAAAAAAATAAAATAAAATAAAAAAAGCATTAATAACAGTACAGACTACAAAGACACAATTTCCTAAATCCCAAAATCACAAATAGATCCTTAACTCTCTCTTTGCTATTCATGGCAAATAAAGCACTAACTTCATTATAGAAATACCAGAGAGCTTTAGAAAGAATTGTCTGACCTTCACGCATCAGTGCAAAAACCAGAGCTGCGTACTGTATCATATGAACATGCATGTGTGCATGCTTGCAGCTGAATAGGCAGGTTGTCTCGGGATGGGGCGGGGGGGAAGGGAAATAAAATGAGCCATCTGCACACCTCGGCTCGTTGTCCTGTCTGGGAGTGAAAGTGGGGCATTGCAACTTCAGTGACTGCCCCCGTGAGGGCAGAACAACCTGAACGGGGCAGAACTCAGGGATTAGGGGCGGCCCTCGTCGTCCTGAGCTGGAAGAACTGGAGAGGCCCTCCAGTGGCTCCATCTGCCGCTGAAATACTGCAACATGTATTTTTTGTTTCACTTTCATGGCTATCGGCAGAGTTGTCCATAAGTGGGACTTTGCTTCAGACAAAATCTTTCAGCTGGACAGTGACGTTATCCCTGCCTCAGTTAAAAAAGACGAATTCATCACAAGGCTGGCTGCACATCGGATGTGACCCGCTCTTTACTTTGCAGATAAATCTGAAACGCAGCTCTCGCTCAGAGAGACGGCCGCAGAAATCTTTTCGGGAGGACAGAGCCATGGCAACCGTGGCAGAAATAAAGCTGCTCTGGTTCTGTGTACTTGAGGTGGTTGGGATCAGATCCTGCAGCAGAGAGAGAGAGAGCAGTGTGCGTTGTGTCAGGCCATCTGCCTGAGTGACCGGGATGATAATGATCAACAGAACATGAGCAGATCCACTGAGAAGTGGGTCCAAAAGAAGAAACGGAGGGAGATTGGGGGGTGGGGGGATTTGACCTCTGTGTTGGTTTTAATGAGCTGGGACATTCAGGAAGCAAACATTTTACTACTATGTGTCAACAAGCTCAGCAATTAGGCCCATTTTCAGCAGGATATGATGCTAATGAAATGTTTTAGACTTTACTTATCAAGAAACACAAGAAAGTAAAGACTAAGCAAGCCAAGGCGATGTTCTTATTTTTCACTGATAAACACAAACATCCCATCGTGACAGCAGCAGATGTCTACAGGTTGTCAGGTGATCCACTTATTTTCTCTCCCAGCTTTAAAATAAAATTGTCATGTGCGTCCTTGAACATGACACCACCACCTCCTCTCCACCTCACACACACACACACACACACAGACGCAGACATACAATGAAACAAGATGTACATTCTCCATCAGGCTCCCGCTGTTGCCAGGTTTAATCTCCACTCGCTGCTTCGTGTTACTATGGGAGACGCTGCTGACGTCAGAGAAGAACTTTACCACGCTCAGGATGCGCATCACAAGGCTGTAGAGTTATGCCTCCATTAGAGTTTTTACTGTCGTTACGATTACGTTCGATTACGTGAATTTTATCTAGCAGGCTGCTGTCTGGCTGCTTCTGACGTATGCGCTCTGATAAATTTTTATCAGCAGGAAAAAACAAACATGTCAAACTCAAGGCCCTCATCAGAAGTTTATATGTGGCCCCTAGAAATAAAACATTCTTTAATGCAGTGGTTTCCAAACATTTTCTGCGTCCCCCCTATGGATTACAAATGGCTGTCTGGTTGAAACGACGCATGTGCCGGGGGCTGAAAATAGACACCAACATCGGTAGCCTACAAGGTACTTGTTAAGCTTAAGGTGCTGCATTGATATTAGCTAGTCATCTTTTAGCTAACATTACCTGCAGCTTTACTCACCTCAGTCGGTTAGTTTGGAGGGAAAAACTGTGAAAAGTTCTTTGCGTTTTGCTGGTTTGTTGCGGTGATTCTAACACAAACCTACGTAGCTCCGCCCAGCAGCAGCAGGTCTCCTTCACAGGTGGAAACCCAGCGCCGTAGCGCTCATGTTGCGTTTAAAGGCGGCTCGGAAAACAGGTTACCACATGTTAACAATGGATTAAACAGTTTTAACTGCTGATAAAAGTGACAGAGGACACAAATATGAAAAGTTTGGATGCCTCTACTGTATCAAATTGACATAGGAATAACAGAGAGTTGGCCATTCTAAGGTAAAAACACAGCGCATACAGTGTTTATGTTTTGTTTTATTTTCATCCAGACGGCTTCCCGCGCCCCCCCTGCAATGACACGGGCGCCCCACAGTTTGGGAACCTCTGCTGTAATGTAACAATTGGGTGCCTAATTGTTATTTTATCAATCAAAACAAAGCAATTTTTATCTGCATTCTGCCAAATTGGATCCAGGTGAAAATATATGCGATGTACATACACTCGGTCCTGTTCACATAAAATGAAATATTTTTCGTACCGGTGCGCAGCAGAACATACACCACCGTACCTGGTACTGAAACAATCTGTCTCAGCTCCTGCTTTAGGCTCATGATGTCTTTGCAGAGCTGAATGTCATCCATCCTGAGATACAAACAGAAAATAAAGAGAAACAGAACAATGGATCAATGGCCTCCATCAGATTAAAGGGCTTCTCATATTATTAGCTCAATTTATTTTGGAAATCAGACTAAGCTGTCGGAGAGGCTTGTTTTGTTTAGAGGATGCTGGGGGGGAAAAAAAAAAAGCAAAAGCAGGCAGAGGTACTGAAAGATGCAAAGGAGAAGATTTGTCAGACAGGATTATGGTCCGCAAAATATCCTGTCATAAAAGAAATTATGTTTATAGGTTCAACAAAAAAGCAAAAACGTCACATTTTAAATCAAGCAGCAAAGTTGCGTTCTGGATAAATTACTCTCCAACGGGTCTTCCCAACAATTTTTATGTTTTTTTTTTTTTTTTTTTTGCTTCACAACTTCATTTCTCTACGAAAGCGTAAATCGACTGACGGAGGCTGGTTGTTTGCACTCTGATGTTTAAACAGTCTGTCAGATGTTACCAAACCAGGCTTGAGTCGGCCTCAGGCATCTGTCACAAACCATAAACATGATGAAGAAAGATGCACCAACATAACTCATCTCTCTGGAGAACTCTTTACTGGTCCAATTCCCGCCTGAATCCCTCCCGTCTCTGACATCGTCCACAGATCTGTTTCACTCCACGACAGATCAGGCCTATGACTCATCCAAACCCTCCCTCCTCCTCCTCCTCTTCTTCTTCGTCTTCTTACTGTCACTCTGCTTAACACCTCCCTCCCTTCTTTCCCTGTGTTTCCTCGCTTGTGTTGCCTTGTGTTTCGCCCTCTAAGTGCTATCCGTGGATCCCGGCCACTTCCGTACGTTGACGTCCACACCGAGCGTGTGTGACGTCTTGCCGCTGCAAACCGAGAGGTTAGCAGATGCAGCAGACCTGACGAAGGCTGGAGGTACGAACATCGTCAACAAAGCTCAATCATTCATCATGATTTAGTTTTTGATCTTTATAGTTCAGCACAAATAAATGTGATATTGGCTGCAGGTAAAGAGGTTGTTACTGCACCGTGTGTGAGCTTTGCCTGTCTTATCATTTCCACACACTTTAAAATGAATTCAGCCTCATTTGAACCCTTTTTAACTTGCTTATTGCCATCGCCGCAGACTGGATTTGGGGTGATATTTCTGTTTTGCCCTTTAAATTGTTATTGTACAGTCAGAAACAAACATAGATAAACCCCCAGAAACAGAGAGTTGGATGAAGAGTCAGAGGTCCTCATAACTCACAACAGAATAAATTCTGGTGGTGGTTCTATTATTTTTGTCATAAGAGGAACATTAAGAAACAAAAAGGTCGAAATCTTGTACTGCACTAAAGATGCCTGTGTTTGTCGTTTCACCCTCACTGCCCTCATCTTCAACCAGATTGTCACACTTTTCCCCTGACAATTATTATTTTTGGAAGCTGTCATCTTCAGCACTGCTCAACTCCTAACTCCTCTCCTCTATGGTATCACGAGGAAAGATAGTATGTGGATATTCTGAAGCAACATCCCAAGACAAGTTAGAAGCAGCTCAGACTGTGTAAGGAAACAGTTTTAGACTCCCTCCGGAAAACTGATAATCCGTGAAGCCGCGGGTTGATGAGGAGCCAGCAGCTTCATCACAGTGACTCATTCGTCTGCTGGCGGAGTTATGCTGCTCAGCCTGCTGAATAATCAATGGACGCTCTCAAACGCCCAGTGCACAGAGTGTCTGAACTCGTAAAAGCAGCATCTGAAATCCTCCCAAAAGTCTCACTGCGACGAGATGAAGCTCATCATCAGCCCTGCCGATCGACCGCCCGCAGGAAGCGTGATGCCACTTCACCGATTAGCTCTCTCGTCACATATTCCGCTTGCATCGGCGTGAAACGGGCACGGAGGAGTCAGTCACACTCACATGAAGCGCAGCTCCGACTCCCTGCGCACCAGGACCTCCCGCAGGCGCTGGATGCGAGCCATCTCCACCTCGATCTCCTCCGGAGACATGGTGCTCTCCGCCATGGACACGTCGGAGTGACCTGAGAGAGTGAAACAGAGCCCCAGTGTGAACGAGAAGGAAACAGAAACGAGCAGGCTTTTTAGCAGTGAGATGTTGTAATTACAGAGAGCGCTCACTCCACGCTGCAGAGTAAAAGCTCCAGCTGATTCTGATTGACTGCAAACCTCAGAGTGTTTTCATTTCTTGGCAGCTTTGCCATGATGACAACAGGCGATGTTGCCATTTTCGTGTGACAAGTGTCTTCACACAGCCCGGGAGGGGTGAGATTTCCGGAGAGAGCAGCAGGACGTTTTTATTTTTATTTTTAAGAGTTTTAATCGTTTACTTCGAGTCGGACTGAATCATCTTCCCGAGGTGACGGTTGTTGTTGTTGCAGAAGGGGAGAAAACACCCACCTCCCCCTTCTGTGCGAGTATCGATTTTACACAACATATCTGGCAATTATGTGCACAAACTGCAGCCTCTGATGACGAGCTTTGCAAACCACTTAATCCGCTGATCAATTTACTGCTGAAAATGCTCCAGGATCTGCAGGGCGCTGACCTTTCCACCACACCAACAGGAGCACGGATCTTGTCTTGTTACATCCGAGCTACAGCGGCTTTGTCATGTTGAAAACCACACTGGGGTTTTAGATAACGATATTAAAACACAAAATAATTCAGCATTTTGAAGAACAAATATTATATACATGGTTTAATTTTTTCCCCCCCACATAACAAATGTGTAAAAAATGACATAATTTTATGAACCTCATTGCTTTAATACCCCTAAATTAAAATCAGTGCAGCCGATGGTCTCCAGATGTTGCCTCATTAGACGCCCGTCTGGCTTTAAATTAATAACATTGATCCAGATGTCATGTGAAGGCCTTGGAGGTTTGTGACAAAACATTGAAGTTTAAAAAAAAAAAAAAAAAAAAAAAAAAAAAAAAACAAAAAAAAAAAAAAAACAAAAAAAAGGGGGGGGAAAAGGGGGGGG